AGTAAAAACAATGGCATCATCCAGTCTCTGAACTAGACCATCTTTATCAAAAAGAACCTCTCACAGGATAAAGAACTTATAAGTGTTAACGTCTTTTCACATCCATGTTTTTTGTCGGCCCCACGTCTGGGAAGTATTGTAGCCTTTTTACGTTTTTCAGTCCCCTCCTTATGCCCTTCCCCTAACCACTGAATTAGACTTCTAACACTCTTAAGCTTTGTCTGTTTTTTCCTCAACAGTTTTATTGAGATATAACTCACATACCATGCAAATCACCTATTGAAAGTATACAATTCAGTATCTTTTAGCATAGTTACAGGGTTGTGCAACCATCACTGCAGTCTAATTTTAGAACATTGTCACCGCCCCCCAAAAAGAAACTTCATACCCATTAGTGGTCACTTCCCATTTCTCCCAACCCCCTCGGCCATGTACAACCACTAAATCTACTTTGTCTCTATAGATGTGCCTTTTCTCGAAATTTCACATAAATGAAATCATACAGTATGTGGTCTATTGTGATTGGCTTCTTTCACTTAGCATGATGCTTTCAAGGTGCATCCATGTTTTAGCATGCTATTTTTACTGCTGAATTATATTTCATTGTAAGGACGCACATACACATATACATGTGCATATATAGATATACATAAATTTTGTTTTTGAAACATATGAATATTTAGTACATGTTAAAAACAAAAAACATTAAAAGGAAGAAAAGTGGGTGTACTGAAGCCAGGAACCAAAATCCAGGGTAGAAAGCATCCTTATGGATGGCTCTTTGCACAGCTACAGTTTCTTTTGATTCTAGAAACTGGGCTGGGCTGTGGGGATGGAGCCCCACAGTCATAAAACTCAATACGATGGTTCTGGGGGAAGCTCCAGAAGAGGCTGCCCAACAGGCCAGAGAGGTCAGGCTGGCCGGGGGGGTTGGAACAACACTAGGATGCTTGGAATCAAGTAACTCTCCCCGAGGCCACATCTTGGACAATATGGGCTCTTAACTTTGCAGTTTCCTGAAGCTTCCCTGATACTGGATGGCCAGGCCTGGCTCTGGGAAGGGGAGGAGAGTGTTGGACTGTGATGGCTTTAAGAGTTTGTCTTCCCACTGGCAGGGGATGAAAATAGGTTGTCAGGGGACATAATACCTTGAGAAGGGTGAGAACAGATTTGAGGGCTACCTTATTGTATTCTATTCTTGGAACAGGAAAGGGGAACTTCCCCCTCAAAAAGAGTGTGAGAACCCAGGAAGTGTGTTTGATGTCTGCAAAAAAATGGGACAGAATCCTCGTTCCTTGCTCTATTCTCAAGGAGCATGCACAGTGTCTTTCTTGACAGTTTCCTGTTCCATTTCCACCATTTATACAAAAGCAGTAAAATGAGCTTGCAAGGTAAATAATGAGTACCCTGGAGCAGCATCTCACACACCAGCCTGTTATCTGAGATAAATTTCAGAGCACACAGCTGGACAGCGATGGGAAGAGGATTTTCTAATACATATGTAAAAACAGTGAAAGTAAAATGTTAATGTTGAAATGTTTTGTATGGTAGTAAAATGTTAATGTTAAAATGTTTTATATGGTAAATGCCATCTTCCTCTTAAGAGAGTAAATTTCCTTGAGAACTGGGTCTCACTTATAGCACCTAGAAATTATAACTCCAAACTAGCCAGCATTTACTGAGGACACTGTGGCAGGCACTGTGCTGAGTTTTGTTTAATATATAGACACAGTACTTAGCTGTAGTTAGTAAATATTTATCAAAGAGCTTGAAAAAAAACTATCGAAGACAGTCAAGAAGAGAAAACTGGGGACTTCCCTGGTGGTGCAGTGGTTAAGAATCCGCCTGCCAATGCAGGGAACACAGGTTCAAGCCCTGCTCCGGGAAGATCCCACATGCCCCGGAGCAACTAAGCCCGTGTGCCACAACTGCTGAGCCTGCACTCTAGAGCCTGTGAGCCACAACTACTGAAGCCCGCGCGCCTAGAGCCCGTGCTCCACAACAAGAGAAGACACCGCAGTGAGAAGCCCACGCACCCCAAAGAAGAGTAGCCCCCGCTCATCGCAACTAGAGAAAGCCTGCGTACAGCAATGAAGACCCAACGCAGCCAAAAATCATAAACAAATAAAATAAAATAAAATTTATTTAAAAAAAAACTGCAGAACAACATTCCTCATGAATATAAGCCCAAAGATCCTTAAAAAAATTGTAGAAAATTGAACTTAACAATATATAAAAAAAGACTAACATTGTAACCAAGTGAGGTTTATCCCAGAAATGCAAAGATGGTTAAGTTTTGGAAAACTATTCAAAGTAATTCACCATATTCACAGAATAAAGGAGAAAAATCAAACGATTATCATCCTAATAGATGCAGAAAAAATGTTCAACAGGCTTCAATCTCCTTTTATGATTTAAAGAGAAAAAAAGAAAACACTTCAGGAAAGAAGGTAGATAGGAGAATTCTTCCCTCTATCAGATGAAGAGTATCTACTGAAAAATCTAGACATCATACTTAATTGTGAAAGACTGAACGCTTTCCTCCTAAGATTGGGAACAAGCTAGAGTTGCTCATTTCACCATTTTTATTCAGTGTTCTACTAGAAATGCTAGTGTAAAATAGTCCTTGTCAGTGATATAAGGAAAAAAAAAAAAGGCATACAGGGCTTCTCTAGTGGCATAGTGGTTGAGAGTCTGCCTGCCGATGCCGGGGACACGGATTCGTGCCCTGGTCCGGGAAGTTCCCACATGCTGCGGAGCGGCTAGGCCCATGAGCCATGGCCGCGGAGCCTGTGCTCTGCAACGGGAGAGGCCACAACAGTGAGAGGCCCGCGTACCTCAAAAAAAAAAAGAGGTAGTGGGGAAAGTCAGTATATATGTGATTTTGGTGAAGGGGGAGTACATGCAAATCAAGCACATATTTTTTGCAGAAGTTTTCTGCTAGTCTTGTGAAGATTACTGCTAGTCACGAGGAGCAGACGTCACCATGAAGGATTTTAGTGCTTTTCTAGATTCGAGGAGATGCAAGAATTGGGCTCATAAAATTGTCTCCTGAAAATATCTATCTGAAGACCTGTTCTGCCAGTTTTTCCCAGAGCACAGAGTGCCTCATTCCTGATCTCCAGCCTAACTCCTTTCAATGGGTGTTGAAGGTCAGCAGCTGCTGACTTTCATAATTTGATCCTTGTAGAGGTAGATGGCAAATGCCAATTTGTAGGCGACATCTTTAATCCTAGGCTTCTTCACAGCATCATGAAGCGTTCTAAGATGGTTAAGATGGAAATTTCAAGGCCTCTTGAAGTCTAGACGTAACTTGCACAGTATCACTTCTGCCACAATCTGTTGGCGAAAGTAAGTAACAAAGCAAGCCAACATTCAAGGTGAGGAGGAGACTCCACGTCTGGACAGGAGGGAATCTGCATTTTCTTTTTGTTTTTTGGCTGTGCCACGTGGCTTGCGGGATCTTCACGTTCAGGAATCGAACCTGGGCCCCGGAGTGAAAGCGCCAGGTCCTAACCACTGGACCGACAGGGAATTCCCAGGAATCTACATTTTTAACATAGCCTTCTCAGTTGACTCACGCACACCGGGGTTAAGTGTGAATTGTTCATTTCACATATATGTGTACAGAGCTGTGTCCCTTTGCATTTGCTACAAATCTCTATTGCTAGCACTTAAATTTATATATATGTAAATGTTTTGTTTCTTTCAGAAATTTCTGAAATAGTAATGTGCTTAGGTACTATATGGAGATAGAATCACCGGAGCTCATAATGGTAGCAGTTTGTGAAAAAGAAGGAATTTCAGGACCTTGAAAGGTGAGTAGGCACTGGAAGGAAGGGGGTATCTTAAGTGGGTGGACCTGGCATGATCACAGATGTGGGCTTATACCGGTAGGTTTAGGGGTCAGTGGCTGGTGCACAAGACTAAAGGGAATGGTGGAAATGGTTGGGGATGGATTATGGGTATGGGAGAGTGACACGATGAAAATGACATCTCGCCATGACCAGTTTGTCTGTTGCAATGGCAGTTAAAAATAAATAGCTAACAACACTGCATAGAAACCAAACTCATAATTCGAAAATGCCGGAACCTCTAGCCAGCGACAGTTGAGGCGAATACTATTTTAGAACACAGAGAAACGAAAACAGTGTACATTGTCCTGATCACTGAAGAATTCGCTTAAAAATCAGATCCCCCCCCCACACACTCCGCCCTGAGCCTTATTAAGATAAAACTGACATACAACAAAATCAGATTCTTAGTAGTGGCACAAACTTGGGATACTACATATCGTACCCCCAATCACTTTCTCTAGGCCTCGGCCCACCGCCTGTTATTTATGTATTTATCACTATGTGCCAAGCGCTCTGCATGTATGTGTATACACTCTCTCTCACTTAATCGGCCAGATTTCTCTACAGGGTAGAGTGTATCATGCCCATTTTACTGGTGAGGAGGAAACTGAGCCTAAGAATGGATTTGCCATATCACAGCCTGGAGGCTGCAAAAATGTAAAGCTGGGGCTGGAACAGAGGCTGCGCCGGAAGTGGGCGGGGAAACGAGTTCCGCGTGATTCAGGAGGGATCCACGGCGAAGGGAAGGGAAACGTGAAAATGGTGATTCGGCCCCATCTTCCAGAATTCTGCAGGCCCCTACGACAAGTGAAGAAATTTCTCTTTCAGACGACGTGTCTCGCTTAGGCGCCTTTCCAAAATCACGGTATCTGATTGGTGTGATTGGAGGAGATGGATGGTCCTGATTGGTAAGTTGGACCTCGAACCAGGCTTACGCCCCTAGGATCGGGCGAGGAGTGGGTGGGATTTGAAATTGAATCCCCCGTTTCATTGGTGAAAAGAAAACGAACCAGGAACTATTAGGAAGCGTAATTGGCTGTTGCTAGGAGCCTCCGCTGGCCTTATGGGCCCGGGTTACGGAAGCCGGGGAGGACTGAGCGTGAGGTCTACCTGCAGGAAGTTGGCAACGGAAACCGGGATAGCGGTGGAGAAGAGGTACCTCAGGCCCAATGGCGACTGTGGAAGCAAGTGGCAGCGATGGGGAAGGGCGAGGGGTCGAGACCTCCGTCACGTATTACCGATTGGAGGAGGTGGCGAAACGCAACTCCCCGAAGGAGATTTGGCTGGTGATCCACGGGCGAGTCTACGATGTCACCCGCTTCCTTAACGAGGTGGGGCCCGGGTGGTGGGCGGCCCCTGGGAGCTGCAGCGGCGAGGGTGGTCGGGCCCGGAAACGCTGCTAGGGTGTGTATGGGAGGGAAGTGAGGCCTGGCTGAGGGCGAAGAGGCGTACGGAAGGGAATACGACACTCTGAGACGGAGATTGGGGGGCCTTAGGTGTGCATGCATTTCCAGCCGTCACTAAACTCTCGTGCCTTGAGTCACATATTGAGCACTTACGACGTGCTTGGCTAAACTCTGAGTCACCATTATGCCCACTTTACGGAAAGGGAAACTGAGACTCAGGGTCTCTCACCTAACAACCTAGAGCCATTCGAACTCAGGTCTGAAAGCTCCAAACCTCTGCTCTTTCCACTATGCCTTCTGAAGTAATATCATTTTTTGCTTTTCATTTTTTTGAGAAGCTGAGATGCCTCCTCCTTTCCCCCCATTATGCTGCCTTTCTTTTTTCTATTTTGAGTTGACCTTGAGTCCAGAGGTTATGAGTTGATTTTTTTTTTTTTTTTTGGCCATTGACTCAGGTTCTGTCACCCTTTTTTTTAAATCAAGCCTGTTGTATTAGGGTTTTTTTTTTTTTTTTTTGTATTAGGTTTTACAAGTTCTCAAGACCCTGGTACAACTGAGTGATTTTTTTTGTTTTGTTTTGTTTTCAAGGAAACAGACTTTGAATTTGTTTAACTCTACTGAGGTGTAATTTACATACAATAAATTGTGCTTATTTAAAATGTACAGTTTGATGAGTTTTGCCAAATGTATTCACCCATGTAATCACAACTTCAATTAAGAAAGAGCGTTTTCATCACCCTAAAAAGTTCCCTCTTGCTTTTTTGCAGTCATTCCCCTCACTCCCAATCCCTGAGGGTTTAGGATATTTTAAATGCTTATTTATTTATTTGTGGTGTGTATTATTTTATTTTGAGTAATAGAGTAATAATCTTGTGGTTAATTCCTTGTAAGTTCTTGCATAATATAATCTTGCTATAACTGAGAAAAAGTTTCATTTCGCTTCATTCTCTTTCTGGAGCAAATGTACCAGGAAAATTTGTTTTCTACTAGTTTGGGGCTTACGGGATAAAGCTCTACATCCTGATTCATAAATCTATAAAAACTTTTAAAACGTAAAATTTCCCAAAAAGAATATTGTTTTATTTTATTATTACTTTTTTAAATAAATTTTTTAAAAAATTTATTTCTTTTTGGCTGCGTTGGGCCTTTGTTGCTGTTCGCGGGCTTTCTCTAGTTGAGGGGAGCGGGGGCTACTCTTCCTTGCGGTGCATGGGCTTCTCATTGTGGTGGCTTCTCTTGTTGCGGAGCACAGGCTCTAGGCGTGTGGACTTCAGTAGTTGTGGCTCGCGGGCTCTAGAGAACGGGTTCAGTAGTTGTGGCGCTCAGGCTTAGTTGCTCCACAGCACGTGGGGTCTTCCCCGATCAGGGCTCAAACCTGTGGTCCCTGCATTGGCCGGCGGGTTCTTAACCACTGCGCCACCAGGGAAGTCCCTTTTTTTTTTTTTGGTCCCCCCCCTTTTTTTTTTAAGGACATTGTTTTAAATAAATCTTTCTAGTGGCCAATAAGTTAACATCTTAGAATTTAGTAACTTCTTGTATTTGTAGGGTGTATGGCATTTATGCTTTTAAAAGTGCTTTCCCGTTATATCAGCCTCAAATTAGCTAGTTGAGAGTGAGTTGGATAGTAGTGAGCCTTATTTTAACAGGGATATAAGAAACAGGTTCAGAGAGATTTTGGTCAGACAGTTGATTAGTGGCAGGGTGTGCTTTAGATAAATACCTTGGTTTCTCTTGTCTACACAGTATTACTTTGGAATTCTAGACTTAGCTATGTCCTTTGATGTATGCCTCATAATAAGTTTCAAGTGTGGCTTGTAGCATGCCTGGTAAAGCATAGTTCATAATGGGCCAGTAATGTTTTTCATTTGTGGTTTCATTTCCCCCCCAGTTTCTTCTTGATTGATTCAGAATAGATAATGAACTTGGAAGGAACACTCAGTGCGTGTAGTGGACATGAGTTTAATCTTTAATAGTGGTTCCCAGCCTGGTTTACCACATGCTGATGGAGCCAGAGACATCACAGGTGTGCCAGGGGCAGCCCTTCAAGCTTGAGTTGCCAATCTTTACCTGTAGTTAGCCATTCTAACTTACCTGTTCCAGCATCTCTGTCCCTGTGTTCTTCTTCACTCCAAGTCTAGTCATTCATTCACTTACTCATTCAAATATTTATCAAGTGTCTACTAAGTGCCAGATACTGTTCTAGGCGCTGAGGATGCAGCAGCGGAGAGTTAAGCATTTATGCCCTCGTGGAGATTACCATCTATGGGAAGCAGAAAATAAGAAGAGTAAATAACTAAAATATATGCTATGTTAAGTGCTAAGGAGAAAAATAAAGCAGGGAAGAGGTCTGTGGACATGTATGGGGTGAGGGCGTGAAGATGAGGGGTTGAAATTTCAGGTATGATGGCCAGAAATAGCTTGATTAAGAAGATGACTAGAGTAAAGGCCTTCTGTTAAGGGAGCTGGCCATGTGGATATCTGCAGGAAGAGCTTTCCTGGCAGAGGGAGCAAGTTCAAAGGCCTTGAGGTGTAAGTATATCTAGTCTGTTTGACGAACAGTGAGGGAGGTTATGGTAGCTGGAGAGTATTAGATGAGGTCAGTATGATCAAGGAGGGGACAGGTCAAGTACAGCTTTTGTGAACCTCTGTTTAGAAAGAAAATCATATAAAAATGGTTACAATATCTTATGACATTGACTAGAACATATCAAAGTGCATCTCTCTTAGCAAGGGTAAGTATGATTTTGTAAACCTTTGTTCACAAAGCATGTTTTTGTGAACCTTTGTTTCAGTTAATATTCTTGTTTTCTTACTGTATCACAAGTGAGAAAAGTTTGGAAGCCATTGTTTTATGTATAATTAACCATTTCTGAAAAGAGTAACTTAACACATAGTGCTGTTTTAAAGCTTTCTATGTATTTTATAGTGACTGTTGGCATAAGTGGGAATACTAGGTTGGAGGGAAAAACAATACAGAAGGGAAGAAAGTAAAACTCCTTAAACCCCAAGAATTTGTTTGAATCCTTCTACATCGTCCACGCATATATCAATGTATACAGATATGTATAAGTAGAAATGGAATCCTAGTATTCCTTAATTGAATTATAGTGTCTATTAATTGATTTGGTTTAATAGGAATAGTATTTCTTGGGTGCTTATTATTCTGGTGGCTTACATGTAATTTCTTTTTTAACCCTCCTAACAACCCATTTTAGAGATTAGAAAGCTGAGGAGCAGAGAAATAACTTTCACAAAGTCATAATGTTAAGTGGTACAGGTGGAGTTTGAACTCACGCAGTCTGACCAGATAACCTATGCCCACTACATTAGGATTTGCCTCAATGTTTTTTCATGGCTATAGAGTATGGAATTAGGTCTGTTTTACAACCACCTTCTTCCACATCTTAGATATAATTTGGAAGGATTGGGAATGTGATAGAGGGAAGTTAGAATTAGTACCTTTTTTCTGGAACCCAGGTAATTTTTTCATTTTTTGAATAGGTCATACGGGTACGTTGTGAAAAGCCTTCCTCCCATCTGCCCAGTTCGACCTCCTCCTAAAGTTAGCTACTGCTGTTTGTGAATCCTTCCAGAGTTTTGTTTTGCATGTACAAGCAAAAGTGAATGTAGTTCCTCCCACTCTTTTTTTTTCACCCATAAGGTAACAGCATACAATACCTGCTGAAATATGCCTTGCTTTTTTCATGTAACTATATCTCAGGAGTCTTTCCATATCCATACCTGGAATACTTCTTTATTCTTCATAGAATTTGTTGGACTGATTATAATTTGTTTGAGCAGTCTCATATTTATAAACATTTAGGTTGTTAGTAATATTTTGCCATCTAAGTTTTTCCCCTGCCTAAGTCAACTCTATTGAGATCTAATGTACATACAATAAAATGTATAGATTTTATATGTGGAGTTCAGTGAGCTTTGAAAAATGTCTCATCTGTGTAATCACCATCACAATCACTGTATAGAACATTTCTACCATCTATGTTCCCATACAACCACTGATTTGATTTCTAACACTGCAGACCCGTATGTGTTCTTATTTGTCTAACATCTTTCGCTTAACATATCTGTGAGATTCATCTATATTTTTTCTGTGTATCTGCAATTTATTCCTATTTAGTGCTTCTTATTTCATTGTAACCATACTAAAATTTAGCTATTTGCCTGTTGATTGACACTTGGGTTGTTTCCAATTTTTGGCTATTATGAATAAACCTGCTTTGTACTTTCACGTACAAATCTTTGTGTGGACATATGTTTTCATTCCTCTTGGGTAAATAGCTAGGAGTGAGATTGCTGGGTCATATTTTTTTGTTTTTGTCTTTGTTTTACTTTTTAAGCAACTGCCAGACCTTTTCCCAGTCGCACCAGCAATACATTAGTTTTCCAGTTTCTCCACATCCTCATTGACACATGTTTTGTCAGTGATTTACTTTTAACCACTCTAATGGGTGTGTGCTGATATATAATAATGGTTTTAACTTACATTTACCTGATGACTAATGATGTTGAGTATCTTCATGGGCTAATTGGCCATTTGCATGTCTTGTAAAGTGTCTGTTCAGTCTTGCTCATTTTTAATTGGTTTGTTTTCTTATTATTGACTTGAAAGCAGTCTTTATATATTTTGGATGCAAGTCCTTTCAGAAATATGTATTGCGAGTATTTTCTCACAGTCTGTATTTTGCCTTTACATTTTCTTAAGTGTCTTTTGAAGAGAATTTTGGTGATACACACACACACACACACACACACATATATATATATATACACATACATACATACATATATACACACACATTTGGCGATATATATATATATATATATATATATATAAAACACATTTTAATGGCTGGATGTGGGCTTTGGGGTTCAAGAGTCTTGTTCAGTTTCCTACTTTACCGTAA